CCTATATATATATATATATATATATAAACATTTTTATAACATTTGTTATAAGAACTATCTATCGTTTAAGCTAATGTTTTAACACTTAATTTGCATTTTTTTGTGTGCATTTTTAATTCAATTATATTTATTCAGTGCATGTGCTAAACAGAAAAACAAGTAATATTACTTAACCAAAAATACATATAATATTTAAAAACGTATTGGAAAATAGTTATCTTTGTAATAAAGATAATAACTGTTATAATAATCATATTGCGTTATTTAAACGCTTTAAACACTGAAGTACATTCAAATTTTTATAAGTAATGTCCGCATAAATGACTTTTCATTATAAACTCTTTTGGTGAAATAAATTTTTAAAATTATATGAAAAAAAGAGATAGCTGATTAAACTATACATATTATATCATAAAATTTGAATAGTTAACGTTGCATGTTATTAATTAACATTTTCATATAATAAACTGAATAATATATCCTGTAACACATTTTTTAAATACACTTCACTTTATTAAGAGATCTGAAGGAAGAATAATCATTTATGAGCGGAAAAATCGTAATAAAAAATAACTTATATTAACTACTGTCATCCTTTATGAAAAAATACTATCAAATCAGTGAAAAAACTACTATAAGAAATAGCGTACAGAAATATTGGATTCAAATAATTTTTCAATAATTTTCAATCGTTTTTTCGCAAGTCCAATAGTATTTTTCCATAAGGAAACAATTTAAAATTAGTTTTAAAAAAATCTTAAAGTAAGGTATTACTGTTATTAAAAATTAATTCTGTTCTCTTAGTAAATCAATTCTATAAAAATTAATTCTGTTCTCTTAATAAATCATCAAACTTCTAATTTTTAACTACATACATATACTGTGTTATTAATATATTATATAATTAAACTTATTTATTCAATTAGCAAATTTTTGAATATACAATAGTATTGAAAGATACAAACGAATTAGATACAAATATAATATGTGGAATGTAGGTTCATTGGTTTATCATTATAACAATACTAATATTTTCTTCTACACATTATTTATACTCAATACTGTTTCCACTTTTTAGAGCTTGTTAGAAATTATGAAAATTATAAATATCATATTATACATTTATATTTAGTAAATAAAAGCAATGTAGCATGTATAACAAATGGAATATAAAATTACAAATATAAAACTATGAAACTTCATATTTTGCGCTATTCTCGTTTCTTTCCTATTATGTAAAAATATTAACGCAGAAATGTATTTATGTAAATATGTAGGTTAACGGCATCAAATATATGTAACAATGTTACAAAAGTATAAATTTACAGATTTACCTGAAATACTTCGATATCGTCATCGTTAACAATTTGTTGTTGAACACTTTTCTGCTTTAGCAACAGCAGCAGGTATGGTATCGGTAGTTTTAGATGATACACACTGTCCAAGTAATTCTGGACACGATATATCATTGGAAACGATGCTTTGGATTTTTCTTAATAAATCGTAATTGATGCGCTGTGTTATTACAGCATCATGCCTGTTTTTGATATTTTATTAAAGAAATATCGTATTTAAAGAATAATACCAGTTTAAAGAAAAAGAATATACTTGCTTACTTATATTCAGGATGTGAAGTGACCTCTTTTCTCAGCCAAGCGGCAGTTGTTAAAAGTTCACCAGAAGCTCGTTTTTGTATTAATTTTAGATATCTTTGGATAGTGCAGTGTGTATCAGCGTCTACATTCATATTAGCCAGATATGAGTTTACAAGTGGCACAAGACCAGGAAAAACGCCATTCTGAAAACAAATAAATATAATAAAATGTATTATTCATAAAATACATTTATGAAATTCTTATAACAGGAAAAATTTTGTATAAATGTATAAATTAAAATATAAATTAATAAATTAAATATTACGTTTAATTTATATGTAAATATAAATATATACAGGGTGTCTCGTAAAGACCGGACCAACGCTTAAGGATAGATTCCTGAGATCATTTTAAAACAAAAGTTCCAATACCAAAATTTTGAGTACTATAATAGTTTTTGAATTATAAGTTAACTAATCAGATCGTCTAAAATTAGCGCGCTCAGGTACGGCACAACGCAAAGTTCTAAAAACAAAAGCTAACTTATCGCCTCTTTTATTAATATATTGATATAAGGATTACATATGTGATTATAAAATTATTTTTATTGATATTTCTGCAAACACATTGTGCAATAACATTGTACAGTAATATTTTCTTTTTTATAATAACACTTTTTGTTTTTACATAATACATAATAATAAATTTTACATAATACAAGCACAAACTGTCAGATAACATTTCATTCAAAAATCTGTTATTAATTGCATATCTTAAAGGCAAAACTGTAGTTATCAAACGGTACGTAATTAGCAAATGATACTTGCCCTACAATTATTTTACAAAATAAGCTATTATTGCTAATATCCTAAAATAAAATTGTATAACATTTTCATGTTTGTTTTCTTCGGATTATTTTAATAAAATTTTTAAAGTGTACTTGAATGAGTTTTATTTTAGGATATTAGCAATAGTAGCTTATTTTGTAAAATAATTATAGGGCAAATATCATTTGCTAATTACATATCGTTTGATAACTACAGTTTTGCCTTTAAGATATGCAATTGATAACAGATTTTTGAATGAAATATCATCTGACAGTTTGTGCTTTATGTATTATGTAGAAACAAAAAGTGTTATAAAAAAGAAAATATTATTGTACAATGTTATTGCGCAATGTGTTTGCAGAAATATCAATAAAAATAATCTTATATTCACATATGTAATCTTTATATCAATATTAATAAAAGAGGCAATAAGTCAGCTTTTGTTTTTAGGACTTTGCGTTGTGCCGTATCTGAGCGCGCCAACTTTAAATAATCTGATTAGTTAACTTTAAACACTTATAATTCAAAAACTATTATAGCCTCAAAATTTTGGTATTGTAACTTTTGTCTTAAAATGTTTTCAGGAATCTACCCTTCAGCGTTGGTCCGGTCTTTATGGGACACCCTGTATAAATATAATTAAAAAAAAAACATAACAAGATATATAACAATATAAGCAAACTTTTAAAAAAACATCTTTACTTATGTATTTTTGGTTTAATAAGTACCTACCTTTCCATTGATAATTTCATTAATTGTAAACTCTGTGTACTCGGATTGAGTGTTATCAGATTTTATGTCGGAAGTAATATCATGACGAAACCAAAATTTCTCTACTTTCACTGCATCTCTTTTCTGCGCCTTGACCATATTTTGATCCACTTTGCTGATCGGAATTAAAAGATTTAGCTTATAACTCAGAATAACTCTCGTCAATAGTACCGTGAAACAAACTATCGCGGCATTTTCGAAGTCTGTAATCTGAACTTCACATGGACGGAATTCTACACGCCAACCGATAGAGGAGTTTGGTGGTGGCGGTTTAAAGCGCATAGTTTGCCAGTTTGTAGACTGTATATTCTGAAATAATATTGCAGTTTATGACTATAAAAGCGTTCACTGTGATCACAATATTGAAAAGTTGACATTGCAATTGTAAACTTACTTCGAAATGATCAGTATCTTCCAAATCGTTCTGATGTACTTTTTCGGAAAATAAGGAAACACTATCTCTGATAAACAGATGAGCTATGTGTTGCGCAAGTAAATGATCAATTCCATTGTCCAAAAGCTGTTTATATATCTCGTCGTCATACGTCAAAGGGACATCGTTATATTTTTCACCTTGTTCGCTAAGGTACGAATCGATAGAATCGTATCTAGACTTGCTAATCCTAAATTTATTTTCTTTAAGGGGTTTTAATCCACGTTCTTCTTGCGTCCTGCAGTCTACTGACGAAGATATGACGCTCCATCGACAATCAACATCACTTATATAACCTCGATAAAACGGACTGGCAGCGGTTAAAGCCAACTGTCGAATGTTAAAGAAATCTTCTGTAACGTACGCATGAAAAAACACTCTATATGCCGCTATTATTTAATAAAAAAGAAGAAACAAAATTTAAAAAATCAACCGGCTATAGCATTTAATACTAACCATGATAGGACATAAAGGTGTCAGTTGATCGTACAATGTTCTTGCTTCTTCTATGTTACATGCCTGAAAAGTAAGTTGCAAACAACAACATCCCATCCCAAAACCCATTGCATCCATATAAATGTAATTATCTTTAGCTGCTTTTGAAGAGGATCCATCATCTCCCTTGCTTGTGAAGTCTTCTTTAAATAACAGTGGTACATTTTCATCTCTGTAAACTGAGAAAATTTATTTATATTACGTCGAGTGAAAAATTATTCAGATTTTACTATTAAGTATCTACGATATTATAATTCTAAAAATATATTAAGAAATTGAGGTCATTCATAATATACTGCTACATACTAGGAATGTTTATAGCAACTTTCTCTCGACGTCGTTCTCTAATATTTCTGGTCAATGTCTTGAAACGTGGATGACCGGGATATATAGCGTCATCAGGAAAAAATAAACTTCTAGAGGCACCACTATTGGGTGTCGGATGAGTAAGAGGTTCGGTAAAATCAGGAGCTCCTACTCTGCGACATAAATAATAAAATTAATAAAATAAGAACAAATATGAAACAGTAATGTTTTCTTTTTATAACTACCTTGGAAAAACAGTTAATGACATTAAGACTTCATTAGGATGGAGTAATTTTGTTGCCTCTTGCCTTCGATAGCGCATATTAGCTTCAACAACGTTAAAATGAGCTAACAATCCTCCATATGGTTTTCCTGGAGTTCCTTCAAGCATATAAGCACCATATTCTGGTCTCCAAAGTGATTTTATATTGCTGTGAAAATAACAGTGTTACAATAATTTGATATTTATGAAGTAAACCTTGGCACAAAATAAAACAACAATTTGGCAGGTTTTATCAATTACAAATTTTTCACGAATTTTTAACAGAATCTTAACTTCTTGTGCCAAAGGTTAGATAAAAGAAAATTATAATTTTTTTTTGCTGCAGTCTGGAAAAGGAAGATTTCTTATACTTTTCAACATACTGACTATTGTCAGTCAGTCGTTTTTCATCGTTGAAATGTCTGGTAAAAAATCTGATGAAAATGACTACAGCCTTTGAAAAGGTTTGAAATTAAAGCTTGAACATTGTACTTTAAAATAAAAATATTGATTCTTTCATCATAGACATCATCGAACCGCTTTGTTTTAATGGTAAGCAAACGTGCATAAAATGGTATAGAATCCCATTTAACTTACAACAAACCATTACATATAAGAAAAATGTCAATTAGGACTTAATATCTGAAAAAAATTATAGTTTGCTCTGAGCTTAAATGCAACATTATATGCATGTACACTTATTCCTAAAACAAAGCGCATTAAAAGTTCGATGATGCCTGCACGGTGAAAGATTCAATGTGTTTATTGTAAAATACAAGCAATGTTTAAGCTTTAATTTGAGCTATTTTCGAAGTCTCTAGTACATCGAGTTTATAAGATACAAATTTACAAAGGTAAAAATTGCATTTTTGTGGGACTTCAATCTCATTTTTCTCAATAGCGTGACAAGAAAAAACATTTTCGCTTGCAAATTCAAAGACTGTAAAAAATTCTCTTTTTTTCCAGAATGCAAATTTTAGTACCTCTGTGTTATTTATTCTTTAACTTCTTTTATTATATTTTCTTGAATTTCAAATTAAATAAAGATTTCTTAAAATTATCTTAAACAGCGAAACAAAAAGGTAGTATTTCAAAGCTTATTTAATAAATTCTACTATTTACACACTATTGTGAAATGTATACAGAAAAATTAAGTATTGTAATATCAATATATATTTAACTTAGACTTACTCTGGATCTTCATTTTCTTTCTCATTTAAAATTCTTAATATTTCCATAGCTCTTAAACTAAGCTTTGCAGTTTTTGCATCATCATCAAATTTTACGAGTATGTATTCTACCTATATAAAAATAATTGCTATATCAGAAAATTATTAACATATTTATTAAGTACTAATGTAAATATTGAGAAAAAAATAATAGAGCGATTTGTTACATTACAAAATTAGTTACATTATAAATAAAGTAGCTAATATTCTAGCTATATGAACAGGATATCCCATTTTAAATGATTATCTCTCAAAATTGTATTGGTTTTCAATTTTAAAGAAAAAATGTTTCAGACAAAAAATTGTATAGTCTATACGGAAGGCAAATATTAATAAAATCAATTTTTCAAGATCATATAAAGATTATCATTATTTTTTTAAATAGAATTATATGAGCAACAATAAGTGATCTTAAATCGAAATGAACCGAAATATAACAAGGAAAGGAACTGTTTTTTCGGTAAAGGTTTAAGCTAAACGTTCATGCTTAATAATATTTCGAATGTATGTATATATATACACTGCTCAAAAAAATTATGGCATAGAAAAATTTTGAGCAAAAATTGGTCAACTTTGATTAATGGTAACTCCGCGAAAAATCATCGTAAAATGATGAACTTTTTTTCAAATGAAAGCTTGAAATCTCTACTTTAAGATACTGTGAGTCGATTTTTAATTTAATGCACCCCTGTTGCTGTAAACTCTTAAATCTGAGAGCATGTTTGCCACACTGAAAATTGCAAAGTTTGAACGAGTGCACGCACTTACTAAAA